CTGTCTCTGTTGTTTGGAGCGCTTGTCTCACACGGGATGACTGGGATGCAGTTGAGTAATGATCACCACAAATAAACGCCTCGATGGAGGTTTTTCTGCTTTAAAGGCACCTCACTCACCCAGCCCCTGGGTTCTGTCAGCTCGAACACAAACCTCGCGGGTTACTCCGAGCTGTCACTCGCCTGTCCAATGTTCTCCGGGCTCTTTTGCCGTGTTGCTCCTCACAAGGACCCACAGCAACGCCCGTTTCCCACCTTTTACAGGAGGAAATAATTTCCTCCTCCTGCTGCGCATCTGCCCTTTACAGACTTCCAAGGCAAAAACATTCACCCACTCTTCCCTTCCCGGCCCCGTGGCCGCGAATCCCATCGTAGTAACTGAAAAGCTCTGTCCATCTGCAAAGAAAGGGTGTTATTCTTCAGGGACTGTAATATAGTTAATAAAAACCCTCTTGATAGACCCGTTCTTAATTAGATCTGCCCTGCCTCACACCCCGTAGTTGCACGGCGGCTCCTCTGCCGTTCCGGAAGACCCGCCGTTCCCGTCAGCACGGCGAGAGCGTACGGGCAGGACAGGCAGCTGCCCTCCCTCCCTTAGGATAACGTGAAAGTGAAATGATAAAAGCGACAAGTGAAAAGCACAATGGGGAATCGCAAAGGAAACGAGCGCTGGAGAATAAAAAACATGGAGTAAATTTTGCTGATGAGTGGGTTGAACCAAAGTCTTTTTCTCGGGCGTTGCCATCTGATGTCTGATCCCGTTTCAGTGCGAAATGGCTTTCCCCCGCGTAAAACCTGCCGCCGATGAGACCGCGTTCAGTGAAGCCTTGCTGAAGAGAAACCAGGATCTCGCTCCGACCGCTGCTGAACAGGTTTTGTGCCAAAAATCGCCTTAAATTCTTTGGCGGGATGTTACTGCAGTGCTGGAGGATGCAAAACCAGGCAGTCCTTCAGAGAGCATAGCCAGGAGCAGTCGTTACCAGCCTAAAAGCAGTTACTCCTCTCTGAAATAAGCCCTGCAGTAGAAACATGGGTGGAGTTTCTTAGACAGTGATTTTTAAATATTTCTTTTATCTGTTTATTATATATCTTGCATCTGGGCTGTCTGCATTACACTGTGCAAGATCAGATTATTTCAAGTCATACTGGACAACGGACTGATAACACCGCCCCTCTCTGTTTCCTTTTCAGGCTTCCATTCTTTCGCTGGTGACCAAAATAAACAACGTGATCGACAATTTAATTGTAGCACCAGGAACGTTTGAAGTGGTGAGTCCAAAAGTGGGGAGCTTGGGAAAAAAGCTACGTGGGGAGATGCTTCGGCACCAGGGATGCCGGTGGTGTAGCTACCAGACCCGGCCCCAGGTGGATTAAAGGTTCGTGCCGACCCCCAGAAACGTAGCATGGGCGTTAAATTCACTAGTTTTGCTTTGCTTTTTCAAACAGCAAATCGAGGAGGTTCGCCAGGTGGGTTCCTACAAGAAGGGCACCATGACGACGGGGCACAACGTGGCCGATCTGGTGGTGATTCTGAAAATCCTGCCCACCCGTGAGTACCGGCTGCGCGGCTGCCGACCGAACCGCGGCGCGCGGCCCCGCTCTGACCGCCTTCTGCTGCTTCTCCCTAGTGGAAGCTGTGGCAGCCTTGGGAAACAAAGTTGTGGAAAGCCTGAGAGCACAGGACCCCAGCGAAGGTGGGACGCTCACCTGTGTGGTACGGGGTCGAGGGGACAGGGCTGAGGAGGACGGAGGCTGATGCGAGGCGGTTTCCCCTTGAGCTGCCAGGATCTGTGGTCTTTCCTGCGTTCCCGGGTGGAATGCAGGAGGTCTTCCAGCCCCTCCGGGAGGAATTCTTGGTCTTTCTCCCCAGTCCTGACCATGCTGACCAACGAGACCGGCTTCGAGATCAGCTCGGCCGACGCGACGGTGAAGATCCTCATCACCACGGTGCCGCCCAATCTCCGCAAGCTGGACCCCGAACTACACCGTAAGAGCTCAGCTCGCTCTGCCCCGCGCAGGAACCTTCACCGGGCTGGGGGAGAGCCGGCTGCCTCCCCACCACTCACCTTTGGGTTGAAAAAACCAGGTATTTCTGCTTCTTTCAGTGGACATCAAAGTGCTGCAAAGCGCCCTGGCTGCCATCCGCCACGCTCGCTGGTTTGAGGAGAACGCTTCGCAATCCACGTGAGTTTGGCCTCAAACAGGAACTGCGGCTCCGAGGCCTGGTTGAAATAACCTTTACAGAGAACGGGGGGAAGCAGGGGGAGCTGTTCCTGCAGCAGGAGGGCGCGCGCCGCGTTACGAACCCTCCTCCTGCCGTCCTCTGCAGGGTGAAGGTCTTAATCCGACTGCTGAAAGACCTGAGAATTCGATTCCCTGGCTTTGAGCCCCTCACGCCCTGGATTCTGGACCTGCTGGTGAGCGCGAGGGGGACGGCTGATGGCGTGCCGTAGCCAGCTCGTAGCTGCTTGCGCGTACCCGGGCTCCAGCACAAAGCAGGAGTGGGCATTCCTACGCTTCCTTTGCGGGAAGCCGCTCCTAACTCCCTCTTTCTTTTTTCACCTCTTCAGGGGCACTACGCCGTGATGAACAACCCCACCAGGCAGCCCCTGGCGCTCAACATCGCCTACAGGTCTGTCTCCACTTGCTTCACTCGTAGAAATTCCCGTTACCGTCTCAGTTCTGACCATAGCAAACACAAGCGGCGGCATCTCGGGGCTTGAAGGGACCTGAACCAGGGACAGAGCAGACTCCTCGCGTAGATGTGCCAACTGCAGCCTTTCTGGCTGCGTTTCTGTGCTGGAACGGTCTGGTTTCTAACCCAAAATGTCTCGTCCTGTAGGCGCTGCCTTCAGATCCTGGCGGCAGGGCTCTTCCTCCCTGGATCTGTTGGGATCACCGATCCCTGCGAGAGCGGGAACTTCAGAGTCCACACGGTTATGACGCTGGAACAGCAGGTGAGCCGCCTCGTCTGCCGCGGGAGAAGGGACTAAAACCCGTCCGCGCTCTGACTCCTCCCCGTCCCCGCAGGACATGGTGTGCTACACCGCGCAGACGCTCGTCCGGATTCTCTCTCACGGAGGCTACAGGAAAATCCTCGGCCAAGAAGGCGACGCCAGCTGTAAGTGGGATCGGCGCAACGCGTGGGTCTTCCTCCGCGCAGGCTGTCAGCGTCTCGGTGGGGGAATGGGACCGGTTTTCTGCGTTGCTGGAGAAAGTTAAGGACTCCGAGGAGAAGCGACTCAAGCCCCAGAGCGGTGGGGAGGGGAAGCTGGCGAGACAGGGTGTCCTGCTTCCCCCTGCGCGTCCTGGGGACGGAGCTTCTCTGCGCTGCCCAAGGCTGCCCTGGTCCTTCTTAGAATCACAGAGTCGTTTGGGTCAGAAAAGCCCTTTAAGTTCATCAAGTCCAACCGTTAACCCAGCGCTGCCAAGCCCACCACTGAACCATGTCCCCAGGCACCACATCTCCCCGGCTTTTAAATCCCCCCAGGGGTGGGGACTCAGCCCCTGCCCTGGGCAGCCTGGGCCAGGGCCTGACAGCCCTTTGGGGAAGGAATTTTCCCTAATACCCAACCCAACCCTGCCCTGGCGCAGCTTGAGGCCGTTCCCTCTCGTCCCAGCACTTGTTCCTGGGGAGAAGAGACCGACCCCCCCGGCTCCAGCCTCCTTTCAGGCCGTTGCAGAGAGCGATGAGGGCTCCCCTC